CAGATGCTCCGTGCCATCTTTTTAAGGGGGGGGGGGAAAAGGCCACTGCGCCTCTAATTTACTGTGCTCCTTGCTCCCCCCACCCTTGCAGATGCTGCCAGCCTTCTGTTCGAGGAAAACAGAAAATACCGGATATTTTATATGTCTGGAATTTTCTGTTTTTTTACCAGATGGAAGGCCAAAATACCGAACTGTCCAGGCAAAAACCGGACACTTGGCAACCCTAAATGCGGAAGTGCCTATCGGCTCGCCTCTAATTTACTGTGCTCCTTGCTCCCCCCACCCTTGCAGATGCTGCCAGCCTTCTGTTCGAGGAAAACAGAAAATACCGGATATTTTATATGTCTGGAATTTTCTGTTTTTTTACCAGATGGAAGGCCAAAATACCGAACTGTCCAGGCAAAAACCGGACACTTGGCAACCCTAAATGCGGAAGTGCCTATCGGCTAGTCGAGTAGTTGATGGAAATTCCATCGACTACTTGGCTAGTAAATTAACCACAATTTAACATCCTTAGTTCTGATCAGTATGGCTATTCTTACGTAAGTGAACTGTGTTTTCTATTTAAAAAGGGAGAAGAGTCCAATGAAAATACAAGAAAGCTTTTGCTTTTGTTCAAGCTACTATGAGCTTGGACATCAGATATTATAAAAGTGAAAGACGGTACCTGACCTCATGCTGTTAGCAGAGTCCCAGTTCCTAGTTGCTTCATGGAGCTGCCAGCCTCCTTACTGCTCACCCAAAAGTCTTGCTTCCAGGAAGGTTTCTTTTTTACTTCCTCAAACTAAACTCTCTTTTATTCAAGGACCACTGGAGCTTGGACCAGCCCTTTGCTCTGGATGGTCCAAGGAGAGTGCTATAGACTGCATATGAGGAATTCATAGCCCCTCTCCCCCCTTTTAAACTCTTTTGCAAGAATGGTAATACACTGAACACCCTGGCTTCAAACAAAGGCCATCTCCTTCAATGGAGGGAAATGGCAAAATCTGGAGAGCCTAGGCACATGTGGAAACAAGCATAATCAAATGTTCTCCTTCCCTCAAGGAAAAGGGTGGCTACGTCTACACTGGCATGATTTTCTGAAAAGTTTTCAGTTAAAAGAATTTTCAGAAAAGCACGTCTAGATTGGCAGGATGCTTTTCCGCAAAATCACTTTTTGTGGAAAAGCGTCCGTGGCCAATCTAGACGCGGTTTTCCACAAAACAGCCCCGATCGCCATTTTTGCAATCGGGGCTTTTTTGTGGAAAACAGTACTGTGCTCTACACTGGCCCTTTTGCGCAAAAGTCTTTCGGAAAAAGACTTTTGCCCGAACGGGAGCAGCATAGTATTTCCGGAAAAGCACTGACGATCTTACATGAGATCGTCAGTGCCTTTCCGGAAATTCAAGCGGCCAGTGTAGACAGCTGGCAAGTTTTTTCGCAAAAGCAGATGATTTTGCGGAAAAACTTACCGGTCTAGACACAGCTAGTTTGTTTAAAGGACGGGGTGAAAATCCCTGGCATTCATAAATCACAAATCAGGCCTCCAAAATTATGACTTCAAAAGTAAATTTTGGGGTTTTTATTGCTTTTTAGCCTTTCAGCTTTTTGGATGGATATGTCAAGCATTTCTGCACAACCATGAAAGCTAGAAACTCTTTGTAAAGTGAAAATTGAAACTTGTAATGTAGTTCCATTTACTCCAGAAGCAGGGGCTTTTACTAAAACACAAATACAATGAGATGCCGGATAAAGTTTAATTTGGCAGCACTTGGAGTGGGCGGGCGGGGGAGGATGACTGTTATACTTTTGTGGCCATTTCCTTTTAGTTCATGGCTCTTATTCTAATCTAGACCGACCTGCTGCAAAAGTGTCTTTATGAATCTTCTGGCTCTTCTACTGGATCTGTCTATGCCTACTACCATTTTGACAGATTAAAATCCAAAGGTATGTTGCTTACTACTCTCTGCTGCTTATAGCCTATTCCTTCTCCCTGTTCAAGTTTCACCCGTGAAGTGGTTTAAAAGACTTCATTTCAGTCCCCTTCCTCTTTATCAGAGAGGGTCTCAATGTGATGGGGTTTTCACTCCTCACTAGCCTAGAAGGGGCTAATGAGGCTGAGGTCAGTTAACCAGACAGGTCATTGCTGAAGGGAATAAGGTGGCCTAAGTAATCCCCTAAATCAGGGGTCTCCAAACTTTTCTGCCCGAGGGCCGCATTAACTATCGAACAGCAGTTCGGGGGCTGACTACACACTTGAGGTCCAAATAAAAAACAATCAAAACATGGATGTTGTTTTTAATTATTTATTTAATATTATTTTATTCAGTTATTATTTAATAACACATTGATACACTACACATGAACACCTGTATTAGTGTGAATGGTGAAATTGTTTCCTGGATGCCAAAATAGAGCCCAGCCCACTAGTGACCTCATGAGAGAGCTAGCCAATAGGATAAGAACGCACTGGCCAATAGGGAGCAATTGTCCACGCCAAGTCCCAACCCCTCTTGCTGTGAGGGACGCGCAGAGCCCGGGCTCGGCCGTCGGTCCGCAGGGCGTGTGGCTGTCTGTTGGCGGCTCCGATTCCCCCGCACCTCCGGCTGGGGAGTCTCGCTGCCCAGGGCAAGGGCTGCGCGGGTCCAGAGTCCCTCCTCCGTCCCGCTGGCTCCTCCGGCTTCCCTCTCCTGGCTGCCTGCCCAAAAGAAAGTGAGTGCCGGCCGCCCCTGTCCTTCCGGCCCCTCCCCCTTTTGAGCCGGCACGCACGGGGCGTGCCGCTCACCCTGGCGTCCCTGCCCCTTCTCCTCCTGGGTCCTGCCGCCTTCCTCGCCTGCCGCGCCTGCGGCTGTGCGCCCTCGCTCCCCTCCCCCGGGGCTTTCCCCTGGGCTCCACTGCGCTGCGCCGCTCGGCGCTTCTCCGGGGGAGGGGCTGTCAGTGTGGGGAGTTTCTTCCCCGCCCCAGCTCCGCGGCGCTGCGCCGCTCGGCGCTTCTCCAGGGGAGGGGCTGTTAGTGCGGGGAGTTTCTTCCCCGTCACAGTCTCCACGGGCCGGATGAGAGGGCCTCGCGGGCCGCATCCGGCCCGCGGGCCGTAGTTTGGAGACCCCTGCCCTAAATGATGAAGGAGCCTTGCTGAGGCTAGGATAAAGCCAGGAAGCTGACAGCAGAAAGGGCCGGAGGTGAGAGAACCTATAGTTACTTTCTGGGCAAAGAGAAAGGGGAAGATGATGTAAGGAAAAGGCTCTGGGAAATTGCAGCGAGGTATAAGATAGTGCACCTGATTAGAAGATCCTAGAGCTGGAACCAGGAGCAGAAGGCAGGCTTGGGTTCCCTTACCAGACATTACTACTCCCCCAATGAGGTTTACAGGATCTTTCAAAAAAGCGCCCCATTTTCAAAAGAACCGTGTCTAAACCACAGTTTTACTTTTGAGATGGCGCTTGTTCGAAAGAGCACCATGAGAGGATTATGCAAATGAAGCATGGGATATTTAAATCCCCACTTCATTTGCACTTTCTTTGGGGCAGTGACTGGGAAGACTGCCTGAGACACTTTGTAAGGAAAGTCTTTGAAATCCCAGAAGGGGAAAAGCACATAGTGATCTGTCCAGTGGGCCAATCCATGAAGGGAGCACACCAAGAGGGAGTTGCACAGAAAAAGAGAGAGGTGGCAGCACATGCAGCGAGCAGCAGAAAGGAATGTTGAACCTGGAAGGAGATAATCCCCAGAGCAACCAGAAAGAATTGCCTTAATGGAGATGGACTTGGTGACTCCAGTATCAGAGAGTGGGAGAAACTCGGCAAAGAAGCAGTAGCGAGGGTGGAGGTAAAGAAGTGCAGATAATTTACTCTCCGAAGTACGGGAGAATTTTCAGATACAGTTTCAGAGTTTGGAATTCAGTCTCCTTCCCACTCTTGGCTCTTCTCCTTTGCACTTTCATTTCATGCATGGCTCGCCACTCTCTGTCGCTATAAGACCATAGGAATGGCCATACTGGGTCAGACCAAAGGTCCATCTAGCCCAGTATCCTGACTGCCAACACTGGCCAATACCAGATGCTCCAGAGGGAGGGAACACAACAGGTAATCCTCACGTGATCCCTCTCCTGACACCCATTTCCAGACATGCTACTGCTGTGTACGCAGGCTAGAACAGCAGTAGCATGGAGGAAAGGTGCAGAGTACATAGGGGATAGGCCTAAAGGATGCTACAAACGGGCTTGTTCCATAGCATTGGCAGTGAAGGATAAAAAAAAAGGTTTTAACTCCCAGGCAGTTTCAGTAACCAGACGTTGCCACTTTTACTCATACTAAGTAATACTTTACTCTGTCATCTCAGCGCTTCTTTAAAGCCCCCAGAGCAGATGATGCAGCAGGGGGAAATGGGACAGAAGGTGGTGTGGCCACAGTATCCTTAATTCTATCTTCTTGTTTCCACAAGCTCCAAAAGGGCTATGGCTGTGAGGAGCCTGTGCCCAGGCCTAAACCAACTGCTGTCAGCCCCTAAATAAGGGGGTACACACTAATTCCCCTCAGTCTTTGTGACAGCCTTAGCACCACTCCAGGGTTGAAGGTTAGTGCTAGTCTCTCTCCCTAGTGTAGACTAAGGATGTTAAAATGCGGTTAATTGACTAGTCGATAGGCACTTCCGCATTCCTCCTTTGAAATGTACAAGAGCCCCTACTGGGCTCTTGTACATTTCAAAGGAGGAATGCGGAACTCCACTTACAGCCCAGAGCCAGTGGGAAGTCCTGCTGACCCCGGGCTGCACATGGAGTGCCTGCTTTGAAATGCCCAAGAGTCCCCAGCAGGCTCTTGTGAATTTCAAAGCCATGGAGCCTGGGGTCAGTGGGGGACTCTCAGTCCCCAGCTGACCCCGGGTTCTGCACAGCACTTCCCCGGGAACCAAGTTCTGGGAAAATGCTGCAGAGAGCCCGGGATCAGCTGGGGGAGTCCCTAGCTGTCCCTGGGCTTCACTGCTGCCCCTCTGAATTGCATAGAGGCGGCTTTTTAAAGGGGAAGCCTGCCACACAGCTGATCTGTGGATCAGCTGTGCAGTGGCTGCCTTGGGATTTCAAAGTGGAGGTGCTGGCACTCTGAAGTACCCCTTTTCTTTAACATCTCTAGTGTAGATTGCTTCATGGTACAATCCTATTTATGGATATTATCAATATGGCAATGCTTGCTTGTGATTCTTGATGTTTAGCTTCTGGAGCTGTTAGCTGAAACAGCTGTCTTGTTTTTGTCTGGCTGATTAAAATTCCAGATGGATCTCACTAGGTTAGTAGAGTTCACCCCACCCTCTAAATTAACCTACTGTGTGTAACATGTCCATTACTGACCAGAAAACATCTTGAAGTGTTGTCCTGAATAGGGACTAGGGCTATACAATCTTGGTATAATTAATGAACCAGTTAAATGGGGGACTGGAGTGGCCCCGTACCTGCTGCAGCCAGGTTGGAGCAGCCCCTGCCCCAGGTGACTGCAGTTGTGGCCAGGCTGGAGTGCTCCCTGCCTGTGGCAGGCCCTGCAGGACTGGAGCAATGCCCTGCCCATGGTGGGCGGGGCGCTGCTCCAGTCCCACAGGATCCATAATAGGAACAGGCTGAAACAAATCTTTAAGAGCTTTCCTGAATTAGGAACTATCCTGGATACTTCATTGAATAAAACAGATGTTTGAGCAATGCAACTAATAGGTAGCACTTGATGACAATTCTGATATCATTAGCCAAAGCTTTTCTCAGCTAGACGTTGCTTTCACACACATCCCTATACTAGCTTAACTTAGGGTGTCAATTCCTGCCCTGCCCTGCACCTTGTGCTGTCATTTACACTTTGCACAAGTGTATATAAATGACTGCACAAGACGCAGGGCAGAGGAGAATCAAGGCCACAGTTGGCATCAGCATTTATAATGTACAAACACCCTCACTGTTCAGCAGCAGGATACGGTGCTTGATTCATTCACAGCTACTCACCATTAGAAAAGAGTTTTTCTCACTAAAAGTTCATAAGTCTGCTTAATGTGAAGAATTATTAACTCTTTGCATAAAATAACTGAGTAATTTTTTCTAGCACAATTTTCCAGTTTACTTTGCCAATACTGAAAAAAGTAGGTCAGTGCTTTCCTTTGCCTATAACTGGTTGTGTGTATTACATGTGGGCAAAATACTTGTGGGCTCTGTAAAATGGAAATCTTATTGTTCTTATCAGCTAGGAAAAGGGATAAATAACTGCACAAATGCTAAATATTAACTTTGTTACTAATAGGCAGAAAAATCTTATGGATACAAGCAGTTATTAGTCTTGTCAAAAATCTCTCCCATTAAAGATGGTTGGAAAATTATTTTTAGACACAGCTAGGTAAAACACTGCAAAGAATTTCACTTGGCTATGTAAAATCTTTGTCTTGTCTATGGAAGGCTACATTGTATTTAGAAAAAAATCTGGGTAGATCAGGTGTTGGCTGCTGCCATCTAGTGATGAAATATATTACAATGATTTTCTTTTTCTAACAAAGTTGTTACACAGGAGTAGTGTATGGCCTCATATCCAGTAAATCACCACGGGTACCAATAACTCTGTCTTGATAGCTCTCTAAGGGCATGTCTACACTAGGAAACTATTTCAAAATAACTAAAATCCATTTAATAACTCCCAAAATTGAAATAGCATGTCCATACTGCAGGGAAGCCTCAAAATTTGTCCGAGGCAGGCTCTGTTATTGTGGACATGCTACCTCAACTTAAAGCACTGGAGAGTAATTACTTCAAATTGCTCTAGGAAGTAGTTATTTTGAAAGCAGCAGTGGAGCATCCACATTAATACTATTTCAAAATAACTATTTATTCACCAATGAAAGCAAGAGTACAGATTTCGAAATAACCAGCCTGTTAGTTCGAAATAATGGGCATGGTAGTGTGGACACTCCACTTATTTTGAAATAAG